CCCATCAGCCAGTTAACAGTCCATCTCACTAGCTGATCATACTTTCCTCTAAATGGTACTTTCAGATCTGTGTATGACTGAAATTACTAGGGGTTTTGCCTCTATTAATGGCGTAACACTTTTTTAGTACACTTTTTTATTGTTTACACTTTTGTAGCTTAACTGGTACCTGCTTAGCTTTACTGCAGCAATAAGAACTGAGGCCTCTACGTATGTGCAAGCACTTAATTGTTTTCCATGCTAATACTGTTTTTCTTTATATAGCTAGGGCCTAAGCATCTGGGTCCAGATGATAAAGAAAGTTTCCTTTTCAGTTGTCTGCTCCTGCACAACTGGTCATTGAGTTCAGCAATCTTGGGATTAAGCTGAAGGAGTTTTAATTAAAAAAACTAAATATCAAATATGGTTGTGGGACAGTTAGAATCATTTTACAGGCAGTTTTTAATCAAAAGTGCAAAGGAAACACTGGCGACAAAACAAGCTTCTCTGTTCCTTCCCTGAATCTTACGTATTTGTAATTGATAGCGAAACCCCCAGTTTCGTACTTTTCTCCTACACTCCTGTGTTTTGAATGCTCATTACAGGACCCGGAGAAAGTTCACAGAGGGAAGGTATATGGCTCTCTTCTGTTTCAAGTATGGAGACATCCTTTTAATTGGGTACAGACAGCAGATGGCATGGCTTTTGTGGCATCATGAACTCCACCACAATATAGTCAGCCACTGCACAGCATGATACAATTTAAGGCTGAGTAAATATGGGGAGACTGAAGGGTTAGGGGTGGAAAGGCAGTAATTCTCAGGACATTTGTTCAATTTTTATTTTACAAATTGATCATGATTGTGTTATGCTTCACTCTTGTTCACTTTCTGCAGCTGTTCTAGAAAACTCCTTTCCTGACAGGAATGTACACACAAACAAATAGTTTTAAAAGGATTGTTGTCAACTTCAAAAAACACATCCCTATGTGAAAGTTTTATGTTTTCTTTAATAAGAAGATGTAGGATTTTGAAGTTACTTTCTCTCAGACTTCAGAAGAGGAAGTAGGTAAAAACTAAACAAACAAACCCCCCAGAAATAATATAAATTCACAACTAATAAACATGAGGCAAGATCTTTTCCAGTCCACAGGTGTAATCTCTCACAAAATTGACCTAGAATTTTCTGAAGCTTTTTCTGGTCAGAAGATTATTTTCTATTAGAAATCCCCTTCTTGTCTGATTCAGACTCTTCACCCATCAGCCAGTATGTTATTCTGGAATCCCTCTAATTTGTCCCCTGTAAGGAAAAGTTTTAAAACCACAAAAATTTTCCTAAAACAGAAAATGTTTTCCTATTCAAGAGAAATTCATATGACCTGTGTATTCTGTAATTGATTCAAAGGCTGTATAACTTACGGACAGCAGAGGCTATTTAAGTCTAATAAAACCTTAATGTCTCCCGACTGATAGTAATTGGAGGAGTTGTTGTGCACACCTGGTATGCTGTGACAAAGCAGTTGGGTGCAGGCTGTTCGTTTCTAGCTCCTCTTGAATTTAATGCTGGTATGACATAACACCCATTCCCTTATCTGTGAGGCTACATCAAGACACGGCCACTATGTCACCATACTGGAGAGAACCCGTAGGAGGCAAGATTCACCAAGAGCCACCATTCTGTCTCAGCTCAGCAGAACAGCTTGCAAACTGCACTACTCTCCAGGCAGGATTTAGAGCACAGGCTGAAGGAGTGTACAACTGACTATGTGAACTCAAAGACAATGCTATTGTTAAAAAAACTGTTACAGGTAACAGTGCTTCTAATTTGTGTTGTTTTACAGTAATGATATACCATGATTTATGACAGTTAACATTTTACTGAAGTTTCATCCCATTACTGAAGTTTGCCCCATTCTCTGACAGAGTGGAGTATGGGTAAGTCTGTTAATTAGAAATACAGAAATGGTTACATAGAATACGTTAATCCAAAAGTATACCAAGGACAGTAGTGGTGAAGTTTAGTGGACCTTTGTTTTCCATGCTTTTAATCACCCAGCCTGTGTTCCTGTTCTTCTTCTGATCAGTTTCTTCACTCCAAATAGACATGTTCTTGTATTAGCATGTGGAATTTAAGAAATGGAACCTGCTTTGCATACAGCAAAACTTGTTGAACACTGTTATATATTTCTCCAGACTTTTATAAAACTGGGGGAAAGTAGATTGTCTATTCCTTCCCAAATTTATTACTTTAATTTAATCAAAATTCCAATCTATGACACCATTTTTACATAATGGACTGTTTTTGTTCAGATTAAAAACTGTTGGGCTGTATCCTCAACCAATGGAGCTATGCCAATACATAGCAGCTAGGAACTTCCTGCCCTGCTATCTGTGTGTGGCAATGGGTTCAATCAGCATAGGACATCTCCTGTATGCATTCTAAATTACCCAGCAGACTCTCTGATTTTTAATATATGGTTATCTTACATAAATCAGAGCTCGGCTATTCCAAAATAAGTATATTTTTTGTAATTTGTGCAAACATTTGCTAAGCAATACAGAGCAGTGTTTACCTCTCAATATTAAATAAGGTATGAGAACACGGTGCCACAGACTAATCTAATGTATTTCCATCCAAGTAGTGTAAAATATTTCATAATTCTTTCCTCTGTGTGGGGATAACATAAGACATGCAATAATTTACCCAGAATCTTGTCATTGTCCATATCCTACCAGAATTACTTAGGAATCTGTGCAGCTTGTTTCTTATTTTCATATTTGAACTAATATAGAGTATGCTTCCAAACAGAGCAAGGCTGTGATCTCATGACACTCCTTTGAAGCTGTTTTCTCCCTGTTTCATTATGACATATTTTACCATTATTCCATCCTGAAGGTAAAATCAGTGAAATTTTGAAAGTAAAAATGTATAACTTTGTTTAAACATGCACTAAATGAAAATCAAGATTTTGTCCTTGATTTCTGCTGATCTCCAGATTATTGTCAAAGGTAAATAATTGAATTATAACTTTTATTTTCATACAGGTCAATGGCATCCATGCTAGTGACTCATATAGATCATAAAAGTATGTTTCCAAGGAACGTGGGTATAGGTAGGCTGAACAGCTTGGGCTGGTTTATAAAAACGAGGGCTTCAAGCCATCTGCATTTACCATTCTTCTTTGTTCCAGCTGCTATTCTGCTCTACCAGTCACATCACCAGGGCAACATGGCATTTGCAGGCAAATACGAATTTGAAGGCGATGAGAACTATGATGACTTTGTGAAGAAGATTGGTAAGTATGTCCTGGGGTATAAGGTATAAGGGTTAATTTGTCAAAAATACTTCAAAAAAAAGGAGCATTTTTTACTGAAATGTGCTGAGTTCAACAGGGCCTAAGACTGGTAGGAGTGCTCTGCACTTTAGCAAGGAGAGTCAGTTTTCATTCTTACAAGCAGCACTGCCAGCCACAGGGAATAGTCCTGTTCTACAGAAGTGGTGTTCCTTTTCAGCGGCAACAGAATGAAGGGCCTAGATGCTTGTATAATTATCATGAAGGTCACTTTTTCTGTCCTTAATATTCATTGGTGGGAGTACAAATATAGTATGAAAATGCTTGTCAAAAATATTACACAGGAACAGGTTTCTGTCCATGCTTTCGGAAGACTGTGCAAACCTGTTTCAGAGAGTAGCCCATAAAAGCTCTTAGGGACACTATGATCTGTGCACGTAAGTTCAGTGCTTGTGTTAATTTATTTAAAAAGCAATAGCAAGTAGTAAATAGGTATGTGCAGCTATATAGCAAAAGCACAATTTCATACATGTTAAATTCTACACATCTGTATGTGTAGATTAAGTAGATGGAAATATTTATATATACTTGGTATCTATACATTTATTCTGTGTTTATTTTCTCAGGAAAAAAGAATGCAAGACCAAAACTTTTTATTTTAGCAAATGCATTCATGTACCTATATCTTCCTTTACACAAATAATTTAAACTCAGAGCTTTGATACTGCTGTAAAAAAAAAAGAAAACCCAACAAATCAGATGCTCAGACATCAATATCTGAGAACAAACATACTATTAGTATGCTTCAATTCAAATACAGCTGATAGACTATTAGATTTGATAAACTGTATTCGACTGATTAAGGTCTCCCCGGTGACAAGATTGAAATGGGAAGGAATTGCAAAATAGTCACTGAGGTGGTACAGAATGGAAATGACTTCACCTGGACGCAGCATTTTCCAGGAGGCCGCACCACGACCAACACATTCACAATTGGCAAGGAAGCAGACATGGAGACAATGGGTGGTAAAAAGTTCAAGGTAAATTAATTTATCTCTTAGGTTCTACACTGTCTCAATTGTTTTTTAATTTAGGGTGAAAATCAAATCTGTCTCAGGGATATCTTCCTTAAGTTTTGGTTTTTTTTTTTCATCTGCCATAGCTTAGAAACATGTAGTATTTCCCCCCATTTCTTGGTGGCCCTAGCAAAATATCTAAATCTGATTTTAAAGAGAGATAGAGCTTCAGAACTGTATGTACTAGTAAAGAACAAGGGTAGAGTGTTAAGCATCTACTGGTGTCACAGCTCAAGCAAACATAATGCTCATTAAAACACTTAAAGAGCTGGTTGGCAGCTGTGTTATTGTCCAGCACCACACAGCAACTGCAGCACTCTCTGAGGGGAGTGCTACGATCCCTAGCTCTGCCCATGCCTGTCAGCAGGGCTCACCTTTTGAAGTCACCTGTGCCTCGGCCTTAAACAAAAGACTGTAAAGTGAAGGGGGGAAAAAAAATAATCTTTGTATCCTCTTTCTTGTTGGAAGTACAGAGCAACTTGCAACTTAAGCAGCCTCTAGCAAGAAGGAAGATTACACAGTATTAATCTGCTCCTGTAATGGACAAAATCTTGACACAAAACCTGCTGTAAAATGGTTGCTTTACCTACCATATTTTTCACCTATTTAAAGGGATAAGACAGTTTGGAACAGCTAAATTTTGCATTCGTGAGGTGTCCAGAACCCTACAACAGATTACTGGATAAATGCTTTATACATATGGAAGACACAGGAAAACCAGCAATTGCATCAGGGAGCTGTGAGAAACTGACAATAGCATTGCATGATTTCTAGAATGCTTTTTTAGTCTTACTTTTCTGATTATGAGAGAACAAAAAATGTTTTAGTTTTGAGAAATATTTATTAAACCTAACAGATAGAATAAGACAAAATTCTACTAGGTCATTTTACTGCAAACTTAACAATTTGAAATATTAGAAATTCCATTCTCTTCTTTTTGTCCCTGGGCACTTCAGCAGTCCAAAGCCTATTGTAGGCAAAGATGGAGGCAGAAGAAATACCTCACTGCCTTCTAGTTATAGTGTCACTAAACAATACATAAGCTCTAAGATGGTTTCCTTGTATCTAGTAAAAAACATCCACTCATCTCATTTTGCAAATTACTTTTTTCTCCTCTAAATATGACTGGCTAATCTGTGTTACTAAAAGCATTGGCAACTGACTAGTTATACAGACAAGACTGATTTTGTGATCAAACTACATATCTGAGCTGCTGTAGTATTTGGGATGTTCACAGTAGCGTTCTGGCATACTTCTGCCATACAGAAGCAGCTCTTAGAGCAACTAGCACATATTATAGTATAAAGGTGTGACTACAGACCGTGCAGTCATGTTCACCTATATGTAAATGAGCAAGATGAATTCTAATATAGTTAGAGGTATGAAACTCAGGATCTAGAGTAAAGATTCACACTACTTGTCCACAGTGACTTTGGTGCTGCTTGCAGGCAGGTTATTAGTACATGAGAATCCTACTTCAAAATTAACTCATACAATGATGCCTTTTACTTCACTGTCAAAACAAGAGAACCACAAAAAACATTGAGGACTGAATGAGAAGCATAGTCTGTAGTCAGATCATTCTTAGAACTATGGAGCTATATTGTCTGATCTATTGTATAGATATGGAACTTGCATGTATTATTAGATGAACATTTTTCTATTTAAATTGCGAACATTTAAGAAATAAAGCACAGCGATTTTAGTCTTGTTCATGAAGCTGCACGTGTAATACACAACTTCTGCTTTTTTAAAAGTAAAAACTTTAAGCATCAGGTGTTTACAGTGTATCTGAAAATATAAATGCCAGTAACCCCAGGGAACATTAAACCTTTCTATATACTCATTAAACCTTACTCTATTACAGGCAACTGTTAAAATGGAAGATGGGAAAATAGTAGCTGATTTTCCCAACTATCATCATACTGCAGAGATTTGTGGAGGAAAGCTAGTAGAGGTGAGTTCTCAAATATACAAATTAGTTTATAAATAAATAAAACCAAAACCAAACCTTTAGAGCAGCAGGCTTAAAATTTTTGAGTATAGAAAAAAATCTTTGTCTGAAGTAAAGCAAAACTATTAAATAACTTTCTCCTTCAGTCTAGATAATCTACAATTTTGTGCAGGTTTAATCCAAAATGTCAATAAACAAATGTTTAATCATATATTTTTGATAAGTTTGAAATGTAGGCATAAACACACAGTTTTAGAGCTGCTATATTCCCAAACTGACATGTCTTTGACTGTATTCATTGTCCCTATGCCCCAAGAAGATAAAATAATTTATATAAAACTTTTTGCTTACTACTTACATGTTTCTATAAAGTTATTAACTTTGTTTCATTCTTAGAAAACTATCTATCTGCAAGTCCTCACAGAATTTCAGTACAACCCTATTTTCTTAGTCTTACCAAGGGGGAAAAAAAAAACCAAACAAAAACCCAAAAACTACCAAACCAAAAGAGGCTGGATTTCAAGTAGTATCCTGTTTTATCAACAAAAAGGCAACATAGCTTTGGAAGATTACAGAAGCTAAAATACTTACAGTAAAACTTGTAAAACAAATAGGATTGTCAATCATCACGATTTGAGTCTCAAAATTTTTCCTGAATTGACTTATGTCTGTACCAGTTATGTATGTCTAAGTACATCTTCAACAGAGACTAACTAGAAGTTATGCTGTGAATCAAGAAAGGACATTCTCCATCCCAGGAAGTGATAGTGTCAATCATTTATTGCTTTTGGAGAACAATTATCTCACTTGTCTAAAACCCTAATAACTTGGAGTTGGTGAAGCCATGTCTAACAGGATACATTTACATTCTAACCCCTGTTTAGAGGTTGTGCTTGTTATGTAATAATATTTGTGCTGTGTATTTCAGAGTTGACAAGGACATTCAGCTTATTTTCCAGATATGTCTTCTACTAAAGTGTAAATGTTGCTTCAGTAAAGGACAGGTTCTGTGAGCCAGTCAGGAGGTCTTTTCATTTGTGACACTGAAGCTCTAATTGCATTGTTCAACCAAATTTCTGGTTTGTTCTTTATTCCAGATTTCTACTTCCTCTGGTGTAGTCTACAAAAGAACCAGCAAAAGAATTGCTTAAGACAGTAAAGACAGTCTCTTCCAGTACACTGAAAAACAAGCAACAATACAAATAAATAAAAGTGTTGATTGTCTTTCCCTCTTTCTTTGTGTTACAAACATGAAGAATTTTTTTCAGAGTAATGTTCTCCTCAACATTAATACTCAGACCATTCCTAAAGATCTGACAAATACTCAGAAAATCAGAATGCAAAAATCAGAAGATGCATCAAATCACTTAATGATGCTGCTCCCGTCTAAGTATTAGCAGTATATGATACATACTTGGCATATTCAAATGTTGTCTACCACCTACTTAATAGAAGCTCTATTCAGCTTCTGTCTAGAGAATAGGATAATGCTCTGCCCAAAGGGTACATCAAAATGCAAGACCCGATGAAAGTCTCTCGCCCTATTGCTGGTCAGAGAGCAGAAATTTAAGACTTTAAGAGAAAGTCAGTTTATCACTCATTAAACGATAGGCTTTCATCCTGCTATCATGGTTTTCTCAGTCACCAGTATCTTCTCTTGACCCAAATTCTTAGAGGACATTTAAGGTTTTACAGACAGACTCCTGCAGGAAAATTTGGGAGTGTCTTATTTTCTCAATGCAATCCTGTTGTTTACACACAGTGCATGTTTTCTTGAACACAGTAAGAATTAAGTATAACAGTTTTTGGATTCACTGTTCCAAATCACTTCTGGCCAATACCCAACCCACAAAGCTTTTCCCTTTTCAGACTCCTTTTTCCAGCTGTCTTGCCTTCTGGATCCACCTAGTTGCTTGCCCTCACAAGCTAATCAGTATCTAGCCAAGGCATGTGTCTTATGTGCACAGAAGTTCATTGTCTGATAGGCCTATGCACATGACTGATTAATGCAAAATACCTGAAATGATTGGAATTAAAAAAGGCTTTTAATTACTTTTTATACTTTCCCTCAATAAAGATCCTTGTGGGTCACTTCCAACTCACAACATTCTGTGATTCTATGATTCTAACAGAATTTTGTTGAATTACAGCCTCTGCAGCTATATGATGTCATATCAAGAAGTAATAAGGAATCTCTTCAGGCTTACTCCTCATTTCAGTTCAAGTTAGCTAATACATTCCTCCGCCAATAATAATGTACCATCTTCAAACATTTGGGTTTAGAATGTGCCCATCATATTTAACACTTAACTAACTACACAGAATTACCTGTAGAATTAGGCACAGGTAAACACTGGGAAAGTGCTATATGAAACTAATGCTCATGCTTGAAGTAAAGGATGGTGGTGTTCTGTCTGAACCATTCATGCCCACAAGAACCAGCTCTGAAGGAGATGATGCTGATACCTGGTGATTCCCTCCCTGCTTTGAAAACAAAATGGAAGCAGCCACCACTAACTCCAGTTCTACAAGCAACTACATTTTGCATTGTGCAACTGGCACATTCTGTTTTTACATTTTACATGTGATCAAGTAACTCATTATACAGACAACAATGCTTTGAAAAGAAAGGTGGGATTTTTATCTAGGCTCTCCAGAAAGCATGTAAGGGGTGCTTTCCCATGGGGAAGAAAGCATTACTGCCTTTTCAACTGGAGCATGTTGTTTAGGCTTGTCTTGAAATGGCAGTACAGAAAGCAAAATAAACACCCCTTAAAAAAATACTTGTGCAAAATTATCACTAATAATCCATCAATGTTTGTCCCACATTTGCTAGTAGTATCTAGGCTTCTCAGTAAAAATTGGCACTAAGCTAAGTTTTATTAAGCAGCACCTGTGCACTTTACTGATGCATTGATTATACTGATCAAAGAGCATTATATCAGCTTTAAGTTGTCCACTACAGTGTGTAAAGCTTACTGAACCAAAAGGATCAAAGTGGCTTTGACAATTTTGCAAACACCAAGTTGTAACTTTCTCACAAATGGGGAAATGGTTTCTTTCCTATTTAAAAAAGCAGCAAGCTGCAGCCATTAGATTTTTTTAAAAGTAAGTTAATTTTAACCTTTGATGCCTGGTCAGCATGAGCAGACTTTTTTTCCACCTGTTTCCCTGCTGCAGCTCTTGTCAGGACTCACTAGTACAGTTTAATTTTAATGCCAGCTGTTTGGTTACATCTGCAACATCCTCCCACATTAAAAATTAATTCAGCTTTGCATACACCTCTGCAGCTCTCTCAGTAATTGTGGCAAAAAGTCTTCAGAAAAATGTCTTTAGGTTGGCTGAGCTCTTCTACATGTGCTCTTCCTGAGGAGATGTTTTCACAAAAAAACCAAACAAACCCAAAACCATGAAAAATATTTACTTCAAAATTAAAGGTGTAGAATTGGCACCAACATTTAAAGCATTCTGGAGAGAGCTGTCAATCAAAGCAGTATTAGGCCAGCTCAAATTCTCATAAATCTTTTCCCTTTCAGAGTCTGCTGTTGGACTTAATCTGTCCCAACTCCATCCATGATACAATGGCACAAATAGACCCTAGAACTCACTGGACAATTCCTGCTTAGAAGACACAATCACCAGAAGAAAGATTGAACATACAACCGCATTCTCCTATTCAGCCTTTCGCTCTCCTCAGGTAAGATGGCACCCCCAAGACACATGAGCTGGAACAATCCGTTCTTATATTATGTCCCTACCTTGTCTCTACACGTTTTCTGCCTGTTTGTTCAGCCATCCCCTCATTCCACTTTGTACTTCCTTATATACACCAACACTCCATTGGAATAGGATCTTATTTCTTGTGCAGTGACCAAATTCCTGATCTGCCTATTCCTTCACAATTTATTATTTGGCAAGGCCTTTCCATCACATTTGTCTTACCACTCTTCTGTTCTGTAAAATTTTGAGCGCTTAGTTCAAGTATTTTTAAGGTATAGATATATATTCTTTGTTGGCTCTTAAAAGCTAAGCAGGGAACGTAGAAAGCTTTTTCACAATTAAGCATGATGGTGGTCCAAAGTGTAACGCTGCACATTACAGATTATAAGGTGATAAAAAACAAAGAAAAAACCACAACAGTACTGCCACATCTATATTGTTCTTTACATCTGTCAAATTACATAATAAAAAAATGCACCAAAGTCTTATGAAAATAAAGTTTAATATAAATAAAAAGCCAACAATAAAAGATAAACTAAGTTCTTTAAACTTACAGACTAATTTCTGGAGAGTACTGCCTCCTTATTTACAGTTTGCATTTAAAAACAAACAAACAACAAACCGACCAAAACCGAGAAGATTCCTCTAGCCTGCCAAATGGAAGAAATTATTAATTTGATACCAAAAGTTGCATTCTTGGAAGACAGTTATACAAACACACATTAGCATTTTTCCTTTCCACCCTAAAACACTCTTAAAAACAATTATCTAAAAATATAATTTAAAACAGCACTGCAACACATGACTTTAAAAAATTGCCCCAAGTCAGTAAAAGCATATTGCACATTGCTTGTATTGCTGTCCTGAGAACCTTCAGAGAAAAGACAAACCAAGAGTACTTACTGCCTTCAAAGACATTTACAATAGTGGTTGCATATATCAAAACTAAAGTTTCACATTTGCAGAAATCCATTGCTTGTAAATACATTAAACATTTTAAAAGTCTATATAGTTTTTTGAACCATCATCTCTGGTTTCAGCTGAAAAAGAAACCCTTGGATATGTGACAGTAGGTGCATGTCTCATTGCAAAGCAGCAATATAATCTTCAGTTTATCAGCTGTGTTTTCCAAGAGAATTCCAAGATGGTACTTAAAAAAAACTAAGTCAGCATTGTCATCAAACTCTTAATTTCACAGTAAAGTTAACCAGTTCCATATCTTTTCCCCCATTAACACCAGTTCCCTCTGTCCTGATCCTGAACTACTGCCACAAGTCACTGAGTCCAAAAAGATGAACTGAAGGCAGTGAACCTTTAAAGAGTTTCTCTAAGATTTCTTCAAGTAACATTAAATCCCTGATAAAGCTCATGAACAGTTTTACTAACAGTCTCCAGTCCCAAAGGCAGCAGCATGTTAAAGACCTAAGAGATGATTTAAGGTTGTTTTTGTTTCTAAAATACTTGAAGGCAGAGTTCTGTTCAGCAGCACAAAATTTAGATTCCAATATAATTGTAAGTAAAACGTTATTTAATAGTCTTCTAGCCTATTTTTATTTATTTCCTTTTATTCTAAAGTCTTACTCCTAAACTATCACTCCTACTCAAAGAAAATGGAATCCACATCAACGTTATCTGAATGAGCAAGTCATAAGGATTCTGTTTCTTCATGGTTTTCATATACACATCTTGTATCACACACAGGGTCTCTTCCTTAGCTTCTATTCATATAACTTTTTTTCTCCCATCAATATTTATCCATCAAAATACCCAGCTGCATATGACTACGGACTACTGAAGTAACTACTGCCATAAGCCACGGAAATGCAGTGTCTGGGCTCTGTTCCTAGGGCCACCTGCACAGCGATGGGCGTCTGTGCAGATGGCCAAAGGCTGGCTTCAAGATCTGCATAGGCGCACAGCGAGCTGTCAGCACTGCCAGCAAGCAGACTGCTGGGCCTCTGGGCCTGTAAGGAGTTACGATAAGCAGAGCACAAATCTTGCACTGGCCACTGGAACTCGGAAAACGTAGCCGATTGTTGGGCTAAAGGGTGATAACTAGATTGCTGGAAGAGAACTTGAGTAGTGGCTTGATGGCTCAGGTTTCCCACTGCTTCCTGTTCTTGATTTTGAATTGTTACTTGTTTTTCTATGCTTCTGGCTTCTCTGATGTCATTCTCATAATATCTGAAACAAATAAGACAGATTTATCAGACAGAGAAATTCACAGAGCTTGAATATATCCCAAAGTTTTCACCAGTCAGACTACATCATCAGCTTTTTGTCCCTAGCTATATATGGCAATCCTCAGGTGCTTTCACAATTCCTTTCTTAATTATCCTGCTGCAATCTTCACACACTAACAAAAAGCTTATGGATAATTTTGCATCACAAGCATGTTTTTATTGATGGACTGGTTATCTTGTAACCTTAAGTCCACAACACAAAGACATTTTTAAATAGTCTGGGTAAGTATTTGCAGAGTATTAAAGTGCATAGCTGTAAGGAAACAAAGGAAATTCCTGTTAGATATTAGGAAAAAATATTTTCACATTTCTGATTATTGTGAAAATGATGAAGCACTGGAACAAGTTGCCCAGAAAGGTTAGGAAGTCCTTTGAGCCAGTCACAACTTGACTAGACAACACCCCAAGCAGTCTGATTTAACTTCAGATGGCTCTGCTATAAGTAGGAATTCAGAAGTTATCTCCAAGGTCCATCATCACTTCCAAACTAAATCATTCTATTGTTTTTTTTAAATTTTCTGTTAAGACTGTATGTGCTCACACACCAGACCAGTATTGATGGATCACAGTCATGTCCTTTACTGGAAAAAACCCCAAGGATAGTTCTGCAGTGTCTCCCTACTGTATTTTCCATGTTAGAGATACACTGGTGTCTCTCTGCAGAAAGTATATTGCAGGTACAATAAGAAACAAAGGCGAAAAAGCTTTCATCAACCATCTGTAAAAGCTCCCATCCAATTGCATAGACAACCAGTACAAGAAAATGAACACTCCATTCCACATTGCAAATATTGCTAAAAGACAGTATTTTAGTAAAGTGACCTAATTTTTCCCTTTTATTCCTCTCCCCAGTTGAAGATGCAGATTACCAATGCAATATCCTACTATCATGGTAATATCTTAATTATAGTTAAACAATTACTTAAAAAAAAAATACTAGTATTAACATCTTCCTAAGAGCACAAACAGGTTACTTTTTTTCTGATCTTACATTAACATCATTTCAATGCATTGGGTAAGATGCTCCCCGGAATAACACGTTAGCAATTCAAGCTCTGTTGTCCAGGCAGGAGAAATGTGCATACAGAGACGCGAGGCACACACACAAGCTGCAGCAATCAGAGATGGACGAAAATAGAGGAAAGAGGGATCTACAAAAAAAAAAGAAGCAAGGATTATACCTTTACTAACCACTGCAGTGAGCCTATTATGTGTATGCATGGCAAACAGGACAAAATTAAATCCTCATCTTTGTTCCACACATCCCAGAGTATTAACTCATGACCAGAAAAAGCCTCTCAAAACTGGGTAAAGCTTTCCTGAAGATCTCTGTACTACTTGTTTGTAACTACTATCAAGGCTTCACTATAGTTTCTTTTGTTTCAGAAAAAGCCACGAAATAGACTATGCTGAAATCTGTAGACTGGTCTCAACTGAACCGAAGTTAGGTACTGACAATCAGGCACATTTATATTGGTGTTGAAACTGCCTTATGAGGATGCTGCAGTTCACTGCCTCTCACATGGGCAGATATTGGTAGCAATGACAAACCAAATCATTAAAAGCCCTGTCATTCTAAATGTGACCTGCACTGCAGCACAAGACCTTCTAAAAAATATAATTAAAGAAGATTCATACATTGAACTGCATTTCATCTGCAAGTCACAGCAGTTCATACTCTGTGGCAGATCAAAAATTAGACCCTATTTCAGACAGTCTCTCCAATTAGTGTTCTAAGCTGAAGAAAAAATTGATTTCTTCTAGAGATTTCTGAAAAGAGACAAGAGGCTCATGCGCAAGGAAAGGAACTGTACCATTTGCCATCTGAAATAGCTGCAAAGTGAAACCATTCTGCACAGATAGTTTTGTGCAATCTATATTATGAAAAGTTTTAAAGCTCTTTTTCAGAGTTTTGCCTTTGGCCAAATGGAAGATCACTAGCATAAAACTATACCTCTTACCTTGCACTGACACATCAAGGAAATAGTATGCATATTTCTCCAGAAAAGCTTTGATTTGGGTCGGTGAGGTGATCGGCCAGCCATCGTGAAGGTCATTTTCACCAATGGACACACAGAGGTAGTAGTCAATGTAGTGTGCTGGTGTTGGTAGACAAAGGTTCCAGTTGAACTTTTCCAAAAGCAGCATTTCCACTCCAAACAAATCTTTCTTGTTCAATACCACATTCACATTGCACATGTATGCCAGGTTATTTAAGTGCTCCAACTTTGGAATGTTATCTGCTCTTTCTTCAAATTTACCTGCCAGAAGAGATGGTTTCCAGATAAGATTTATCTTTATGATTGAGTGTCCAGAAGCCAACAAAGAACACTCCCAGAACTAGAAAGTCTATAGATAAAAGGTGCTTTTTAAAGATAGACAGGAAAATATAGTGACACAAGTAGGAAAGAAGCCAGACTGGTCAACATATTCCTATATCCTTTTCATGGTTTTGTTTGTTTGTTTTTAATTGTTTATATAGTATGGATGCCAAAACCAAGACTGTAGACTCATTAGGATTACAGATAGTTTTTCCTGACAGTAACTAGAAGCAGTTTGCTGAAGGGTATTCACTGAAGTGTGAAGAAAAAAAAGCAGTATATGGAGAAAATATGACAATAGATCTGATATTGAGGAAAAAAAACTCCTTTGGGTATGGAAGGTAAATGCACATGCTACAAAAAGGAAGACATTAAAAACCCTCAGGCAATACCACCTTTGCCTTCGCTGTTTCAGATTTTCTCTTTGTTCCTTCCCGTCTTGGAGGGCCTCATTAGCTAAGGTCACTGAAAGGCTAGGAGAGGTACCCTGTAACCAAGCTATTAACATAAATAATTCCTATGGGGTTAGGACAGAGCATATATTTTGAGAGTCAGGATAGCTAAGCAAAGCTGCATCTGTTTCTAAGTTGTATTTACCAGCCTACTGAAACAGGAATAGGCTCTAGCATAACTCAATTTTCACCAGTAGCTACAAAGTGCTGTAATTTTTGTACAGAAAAACAGGATCTCGCTCCATTCACCCTTTCATAAAAAGCATCCAATATCAGATTTAATTCTGAGGATTAGATCTATCAGTAACAAAGCAAGTGCTACTTTGCTACAAACGTAAGAAAGCAATGAAGTTATCTTAAATTCACACTGTTGGTTTACCAAGCCAAAAATGACCTATCTACCAGCCACTGCTTGTCCAAGAGCTAGCAACAAGCAATCATCAGTAATAAAAAGTTTCCAGTACAGCTTAAAGAACATCCCTGCTGCAAAATCCAAACCCATAGCTACTTGAAAGTACTCTGGAGCTATTCTTCCTCTTTGTTCTTGAGGTCATACGTTTCACAATTAATTCTTGCTTCAGTCATTCTTCCATTGCCTCTGCAAGAGTCCTCCTTTACCAACACAGACCAATTGACAAGATATAAGCATGTCATATGACTTCAGAGCATTCTCGTCAAATCTAAAAACAATTAAATCCAGCATTGCACAAGAAAATTATTTTAAAAGGAAGTAAGATCTTGCTATCCATTCAGGGCAGCAATTCCATGCAAAGTGTTTCTAATGTACTAAAAACCTGACAATTTTCTGTACTATTAGCAGCTTAAGTGTCTCTTTAAAATGGATTTTCCATCTCTGAGTCTGTTCAGGTATCATGGATGTGAAATACATGAAAAGTATAATATAGCAGCCACCCTACCATACAAGATCATAACGATAACAATGAAGAACAAAATTCATCCATCATATGAAGTAGAACAGGAAAGGATTGTGGGCACACTGTCAGTAGGAAAGCCCTTAAAACTCAGGAGTCTGTATACACATTCATAAATCTCCTTGTCACCTGAATTTAGAACTGTTTGAGAAAAATTAAGTTTGAGAGAGAAGTTAACCCTTTGTTCCCCCCCACACAAGGTGATGTCACAGCCTGATATAGCAATTTAAGAAGTATGCTAGCAGAAGTAGTAAAAACTACTGCGTGCCAAGGAAACTAAGGACAAGATCCATCATTCTGGTTTCTGTAAGTTCTGTTTCCTTCTTTCTTCCCACTATACCTTGGAAGTTTCAAAAGGTCAGACCATAGTCTGGAAAGCAGACTACCAGCACAGTAGTGTTGGGAAGGTATCATACCAACATAGGGCAAAGCTATTTATTTGACTTGATCAAGATCATTTTTCTTTTAAAGTTAAAATTAATTGACAACGGCTAAATTTAGTGACTTAGACTACTAGCTATTTATTATTTTCCCCTCCTGCTTTTCAAACACTAGTTCCTAGCTTTAATGTTAGATAACAGTGACCAGTGCAGCAATCTGGAGACTCTGAGTATAATTGTAGCTAGGTAAGTTGAAGAAAGAATCCAAAACTGAGTTGGGAACGGAGGGAGAGAAATCAACTCAAAAGTTTCACTTCAGATAACTGTAAAATTCGAATACGAGCTACTTTCCAAAGCAACATACAAGCAACTAGATCCCATTTTCTTTCCCAGTTCCACCTTGACCTAAATACTTCTTGCTTCCAAGTTTACCAAGCACTTCCCACCTATTTATTCCCACTGGAATCTGGAAAAGACAGTGAAAGTTAGTTCATTCCATCAGACCAAGGAGATCAGAGGCAAGCTGGGAAAAGCAAGTTTAAGATGTTTTTAAAATGGAGCCTGTCCTTTTCCAGTTCCTCAATTTCCCTGATTTAAAGATGTCAGAATATACTATTCCTATTTTTGTTTCTTCAGTTACACCAGAAACTGAGGATCTATGCACAGCATATTTATACTGAGAGAAACAGGATCTCCGGCATAATGGCTGTGAGGATATTAAAGGCTCAGGGAAGATGGTTGCAAGTCTAGTATTGACCAGACAAATAACACTGACTGGTTTAATCAACATCACACTTTGGGAAGAAAAACAAAGCTGTTTCAGCTACATTATCACCTGGAGTCTGAAGTTCACGAGAACTGCGTGCCCAAGTTACTTGCATGCTTTTGAAATGCCACTGTCAATGCCTTAAAAGTTTACTGTTGCATTCTGGGCTCCAGTTACTGGTACAACCATTTCGTTGCCACTAATGCCCTCAAAAAGTTTTGTTTTGAGGTAAAAATCATAAGCCTGTAAAGGGATGCTTAATGTAAGAAGTATATGGATGATGCAAATTTTTATACAAAGAGGCCTACTGAGGTCGATAGGACGACTAAAATAAGATGAACATGTCATGTAGGTTTACATTTGTGACCAACTTTTTTGTAAAATCTAAATAGATGGGGGCAGCATGGGACATTAAGTGTGCAGTATTGCAGTAATTAATGATGCAAAGATTTTCCAAGTTACTTTATATCATGTTCTGTCCCACTCTGAATTCTACAATCAGATGCTCCCCCAGAAAAAAAAGTGAGTGCTTTTTATGTTACATGTTCACACTTTTGTTTTGACGTATGAAGCCAGTGTAAATCTTGCCAAAGAGTACAGGCTTAAGTTATAAAGCGTACATTTCATTAGTCCATTTGTCACATTACCAAAACAGCCTATCAATTCATGCCAGCATTTCACTGGGAAAAACTAAAGGTCTCAGATAAGCACCACTGCTATAAGATGCACCCCGAAGAACTGATTCAAGCACTGGAGGAGGCAAGTGTCACTATGTACACCTGGGTACGCAGCATGCAGTTCAGACTGATAACTGGCAGGTCGTGTAGACGATCTTCCTGGGATTTTACATGGGTAGCAAAACAAAAGCAGGACGTGCAGGCAATTTGTTTTATTACATTTTCAGAGTCCTTGAGACCATGAAACAAAAAGGACTGCCAATGTAAAGAGTCATTAAAGTGTAAGTACTTTTTGTCCCATAAACAATTAAAATCAATGTAAAAGATGGATAAACCAGTTAAGCCCATCTAGCCCAGCATAAAGAAAAGAACTGCAGCTGCTTACACAGCTGAAGGACTACTTTTCTTTATTCCTACATTGTTCCAGAAGGTGGTACAACAAACTTCTGAGACTCTCTCCCATGCCACCCCCAGACACAAACACAGCTTCTAACTGTCCTCTAAGCAAGGCAAGAAAAAGACAGGCTATTTTAGACTTAGCCTGCTTACTTCCTTTTTTTTGCAGTGTCTTGCAAAGTGAGCAGCCAGCAATTTTTCAACTGTCTGTACAACACCTAGCACACATGCAAGCCACTTAGCTCAAGGCACACTTGGGTTTTTAATGCCTTACTGTAGCAAAGTTTAATTACTAAAGAAAATTTTCTCTACAAGTTACAGCAACAGGGAAATTAAAAAAAAAAATCTAAAACTGCAGACTAAGTTTTGCACTAATTTGTATCCTGGACTGACACCCACTATTATCTTTTATTGAAAAAAAAGTAGCTCACCTGGCTTTGTCAGTTACCTGCTTGTGAAAGTGGGACAATAAATGGAGAATGGATCTCAAAGCACGGTCCAATGGAAAAGCTGCCTGATGTCTGACAACACCTCCACACAGTCAATGGAGGATTAGGTGATAAAGGATTATCCATGCCCTCAACTCAGCCCACTTAACACAGACATCTTGTCTTGCTCTAATTTCTTTTATTGTCCTGAGACAGACAGATTGGCAGATTAAGGAGTTGGGCAAAATAAAGCAAGGAAAACCACAAGAAATACCCAAGTACTCTATGAAGCAATGCAGCACAGGATGTGCTAAGGAGTAAGCAATCTTTGCTTAAAACAATACTCAAATTTAAAATCTGTTATCGTGTCTCCATAGCAGCAGAGCCCTCCTGAGGAAGAGGGGCTGTAAGAACTAGAATTGCTGGAATGTTCAGTGTCACTGAGAGGCTGAGAGAGATGTTGCTTTTCTCAGGTACTGAAGCACCAGCTACTGAAGAGGGTTAGTTCATCAGGGAAGAAAGGAGCAGTTTTTAAGACTCAGCTAGGATTTCACAGCAACAAGCAAAAAGTGCACTGCTTTAACTGAACTGATACATCCTAACACTACAGCCCCTATACAGCACAGTAAGAAAACTTACAGAAGAAACAGTTGCAGTGGTTTAAGACTTATAGCCCAGGTGCTTGATCTCTCCCCAGAGTTTACTGCTCCTGCAGCTGGACCATTTGAATGGATTGTGTCAGTGCATCTCATCTACTCTGGGGCAGCTGGTTTGCTCAGCTTTCAGCAGGCAATTTAAGCCAAGTAGCACTAAAGCAGATGGGACATCTTTGAACAATCCTTTTTTCTAAAAGAGCACTTAGGGCTGAAGCACCTTAAAATATCACAATCATTTTCTGTAATAAATTGCCTGATGAAGATGCAGTTTAGAACATTACAACCTGCTGCTGCTCAACAGTGCTCCTCTCCAAGAGGCTGCCTTCTCAGCTGCCAGGTGGAGTGAACGACAGTTCTTCAATTGCCTTCAGTTCGTTAAACTAGATTCACCCACTTACTAAAAACATCAGACTGCTTATTTTGTCTGGAGAAAAAGCAGAGCTTACTTAAAGCACTGACTTGCCTAAAGACCACCAGTTCAAGCTGCCCAGCCTTACTTCTCACCAAAAGCCAGCATCTCCCTGACCTAACAGCAGTCAACCTGAGCAATTACTAGTCCCCCTCAAGCAAGGACAGATGCATTGTCCTGAGCAATTAAAACCACTGGGCTTCACTAATGATCCTGCAGCAGGAGGAACCTACAACCTCTTGTATTAGCACAGTTAGACCTAAGAAAGAAGTCCTCTTTTTTTTTATCATGTACCTAGCCAAAACATCCACACGGACCAGATCTTTCTGTATTACAAAAATATGTTTAGTTTACAATTTTGATTTAGATAATGAAGTTTCCCTTAATGCAAGTGAAAGAGACAGACAATTCTAAACACATTCCTAAAGTAACTGTGACATCAGTTGTTCCAGCAACTTTTCCTTCTCTACCCCAATAGCTTTCAGTTCACCTTTAGATTACTGTGAACAATTTTTATCATTCTTTTTCAGAACCGATTCAGAGGAAATAATAACTATTGATGACATTAGTAAACTTCAAAGCTTTTATAGCTGTTCTGAGGAGTTAAACTATATGGCAGGAATTTCTAGATGCCTTCTCCAATTATTACATTGTGCATACACTGCAAAGAAACATACACCTTCCAGCTAGTGATCTGGATATTCAAGGGACACACACATTCTTCTCAACTGCAGCAAGTCCAGGCTGAACAATACTTGGCAGCTAGAGCAATCTGTTTGGAACAGTATTATCTCTCACTCCCTCATCTCTTTCACAATACTTACTGAAGTGGGAAGCACTATCATCATCATCAGTTTTCCTGTCTGAGGAAACTGATGAGCCAGTCAAAATGCATTTCTAGAGTACAGCAAGAGAAAGTAGCTCCTAAAGGACATCTAACGAAATGCTGTGTTCTCTCTCCATCATGACAGCACTGCTGTTGTGTGCTGTCAAAAATAGGTGATGACAATGTTTGTAGGTAAAGGAAAAAAAGAGACAAGTTTTTGAGATCGTTTACATCTGAGATAAAAGCAAACTTCAAAGCTAAACACAAGTTTTCAATAATTTATCTGAACTTAAAAATTGTCCTCAACTTGCATTTAGCTTAGGAGTTTGTTGCTTCAATTTCAGGAGTTGTGTGTCTAAAAGCTTCTCTACTGTGCCTCTCCCACCCTCCCCAAAACCCTACACTTACAGTAATTAGTGGGAATAAATAATCTTGCCTCTAACTACAACTCATCTTGATTGTAGTCTGCACACTACCCTTAATCTTTTGCTCTTCCTACAGTAATGCTTTGCAGGAAGTTCCAATTACTGCATTTGTGGTAACAAGAGACTAGTTTTATTCTTCTTTGCTACAATGAAAACTTTCAAGGTGACTTCAGGGCAATACTTCTGACTTACTCAAAATCTTTTACTACAAAACATAAAAAAGAAATCATAGTACAAGTTTTTGTCTATTTAATATAATTTTGAAAGTCACAAACTAAACACTGGAATTAGAATTTAAAGTAGCTTTTCCTGACTTGACTTGCTTAACTTTGAACTACACATACCAAAAAAGAATATCCTTATTGCACATTAAGATGGCCCAGACAGTAAACAACAGAGCTTACTATACTCCCAAAAGTCTCCACACTGAGCCCTAGCATTTTAAACATTAGCTATACAAGTTAATTTGGCATTAATTTTGTGCAAAGCTGCTTTGGTTCAACTTTCAGTGTTTTGTTTCTACATGTTTACAGTAACAGACCTTCTCCCTTTCCTATAAGGGACGATATAATTCCAGATCAGGATGTATACATGCTACTGCATTGCTGTAACCTTAATTTTAGAAAGATTCTCACACTCATTAGCTCACTAGACTTAGGCTTGTTCTTTTAAGCAAACTGTTTTTTTTTAAAACAAACAAACAAAACAACAACAAACAAAAAACAGGCAGAAGTTGTAGGACATTTCCCTCAACTATTATCATAGGGCAGTTTGTGAACTTCCTTTTGCTTCCCAGTTGCATAGAGGTGGCCTAAGGTTGCATTTCATTTTAGTCATTTACATAAGGAAAATCTTGAAAGCTTTTTTGCTTCTTTTTAAACCCTAGAAGCTACACAAGTCAGCAGTCCAACTCTCCCAATCTCATACACTGAGCCTCTACCCAAGATCTTACCAGTACACCAACTCTGACAATTCATACAAAGTTTGAGGGTACTGTTTTCATCCTACCTGCACGTCACTGGAAACAAACTATAGCTATAAATTCTTCCTCTAAATCCAAATGAAAAGTTATTAGAAAAACTGCTGAAGCATCAACTTTATGCTGGGGAAAAATGGACAAGAAGTATGCTTGAAAGTGTCAGATTTATCTAAAGAATCTATCTTCTTTTCACAAAGGTAACATTCATTCATGAACTTGTGAAAATAATAACACCAAACCCAAAAATCAGCAGTGCTGCAAGGCATCTTGTTAGCAAAACAAAACAAAAAAGTGGTCAGAAAGCTGAAGGACTACACCTCTGAGCAGGCATCAGTCTCCAGGCTACCTGGACTTGGTATTTAATTCAGTCTGATGTGTTTGAAATTAAGGGTACAGTTTCATAACAATCTACAAAACGGTCCTAGCCCCTCTCCCCTCCATTGCAGCAGCTTGAAGCTGGTCTAACCCTCAGAAAAATACCTCTCTGGTAAATAAAGAAAACACTTCCTCAGCTGGGATGGTTTTCTGCCAATCTGCTGGTCTGGAGGAGCTCACCAAGGGTTCAGATCAGCAGAACTACAATATCCAATAGTCACCTAGGCTGCCATAAGACTGTACCTACAGCAACCGTTTACATTCTTCTTTGTTCTGATTTTAATATTGGCCTTTTTTGCAACATGAACCACTAACTGTTCCACATAATTCACTATCTTCTTTGGAGTCAGATAGACAACAATGCTTAAATACACCAAGTGTATGGGGTTTTTTATTATTTTACTATTATCTCTGCAGAATAAGCCTTCAGAACACAACCAACAAGGAAAAACAATCCTATGTCCTGAGGGGTAAACACATAGTATCATCTTCTTTCCTCAATTGCTTCTGTTTCTCCATAATGTTTTTTTACCTTAACCAATATGACTACTTGCACTTTTCAGCCCTTAATGCTAGGAGTTTGCATAACTTCTGTTGTCTGCAGTAGTGCATTGTTCTGCATGGCTCCCATATGGCAGGATAATTTCTCTATAACCTAGAAACAGAGTTCCTAAGTCTGCAGGGGTAGACTGCAATTCCTTGAGGCACCAGTCTCACCTTCTTCCACTTGCACAGCACTGGCTGCAGAGATTATTTCAAAAAAGCACTAATAACCAATGTTCAAGATAATTTGCTAAATGGATGCCAATACTGAAACTCCAGTATTACACATTAATGCCAATATATCTGATAAGGGCCCAGAACAAGCAATATGCATTTCAGCATCATCAACACATCCACCAGGTGCCTCAATAAGCAAAGTTTCCTTTGGCCCATGTATAAGAAACCTCTTATTTGCAAGGAACTGATTATGCCCAGTGATCACCACAGAGCCACAGATTGTCCAAGGACAGATCTCCAGGAGAGGCTGCATGTTACACAGATATCATTCCTTACTACCAACTCTTCCTTGGAACTACCCTCTCCCAGTCTTGCCATTTCCTTCCCACCCCATCATCCACTGTCTTCATTGTCCTCTTCCACTAACCCAGCTTCAGCTGCCCAAACTTCCTCTCCATATCAACACCAGCATACAGATGTGTAGCACAAGCTATACAGTCGAGCAGTTTTTTTAACAGACTGCTTTATGGCTTGACTTGGACTTCATTAAGCCTTACCCTAAGTAGGTGGAAGCTGCTAACACAGAAAAAACAGCACATGGTATATAAAGAAAACAACATCTGCTCATTAAAAAATGCCTTAAAAGCAGCCAACTTACTTGCTAGGAGAAGACAGGCAAATGAAATTATGTGCAGATCCTTGACAGTGATATCGTAGCGATCCATAAGGAGGTCAAGTAAACAGATAGCGAGGTGCCGTGTCGTAGGCCAGAGATTGCAACAGTTGCTGAGGGCAGTCAAGAGATCAACGAAGTATTGACGCATCCCAATCTGTGGTGAACGACCCTTGTATATAGGCATCTTGAGTTCCTATGGGGGGGAAAAAAAAGGGAGGAAAGTGAGGTACTGAAACAAATACCATTTCAGTGTCTGGAATTCCAAACCAACACCCATCACCTACTATGGCAAATGCTTTGAAGCTACAACACTATGACTGACACAGAAATCAGGGCTGGATTACTGCATGTTTTGACAGTCGGTTAACTTCTAGTACTTTGGTCATCCATGCACTTTCCTCAAAAGCATTAAACATGTGGTTAAACACTGTAAATTGCAGTTTAACCCAGGAAAAATTTGCTGTTGCTTTCGGGTTTTCAGAACACCAAACTTTGTGGCCATGAAAATTCTTCCTGAAGGACTCCCTTTTTAATTTTGCTCACCCAAATTGGACTGTTAAATAAGGTTTTAACAGAGTTCCATAGGCAAGAAGGGCAGGATAAAACACTCTGATATTGCCCCTTCCTCAGTTGCCCAAGTTACTCATCCTCTGCCAAAAAAAATGTGTAGGTCTTTAGAATAAATAACATCTATCTAACATTAAAAAAAAGAAAATCAAATGGTGCATTGCTGCAGCAAGAAGCAAAAGTAGACATTAACAAGAAAAAAAACATAATGGGAAAATGACTAGACTTTTCTAATTACAGCAAATTCCAGTATTTTCTGTAGTAACCTATTTCAGCAGTATAAAAGCTAATTATTGAACTTACAGACTCTTTCACATGTAATATATGAAATGTCATTTTGAAGGCAGAATTATATAAGTTTTTGATCTACCTATGCTAGATCTTCACCTACAAGGGTTTTTACACACAAGTTTGTAGCCACTATGCAAAGAGTAGGTTAAAGAAAGGAGTGAAGATCCTTGGGAATACCTGCAACAAGATAATGCTACTTAAAAGTTGACACTTTCACTTTAGACATGGTCATATACTAATGCAGTCACCATGGCCAGACCTGGATTAAAATGGGCTGAATACATGTTGACAGGCATGGATTAGAAAAACACTGTTTCAGCAAGGTAATACATCATTTTTGTATTACATATATGTGAAAATAAATTAGAAGTAGTACAGTGCTGCAAGACAGAAGTGTTTTATAGTGGAATACATAGTAGTTAGCTCTATTAAATAAATCCAGGCGCTTTAAAAAAAAAAAATTGTTCAGAGGAAGTATCTGCACTGGCTACTCCACTTAGAGAAGTCAGAGGCAGCACCTTGCACAGCCAGCACGATGGCTGCCCACACTCCTTTCATCCCTGGAAAAGGAGACATTCCACAAGGAGGTTTAATTTATCAGGAAAAAATAGCTACACAATCAGGCTCAGAGGGGTGCACATAACTGGAAACCAGGGAGGCTCCAGAACGACAAGCAGCTTACAATGACAGCAAGCCCAGTGCTGTTCCGGATGATTGCTTCCCAGGCCTTTTCAAAGAAAGTCAGTGAACAAACACATTCCGGGCTGAACAGACACATGCTGTGGACGGGCAAACAGCCCTTTGAAACCTGGGACAGCCTTCACTGGGGGATTATAAAGAAATCACCCACCAGTAACAACTTATAAAGCAGGGAGACAACGGAACATGTTCCCCTCCCTTTGTTTTATACCCAGAAAACCTCCATAAATTTGATTTTTTTTGATTGCCTTTATGAGATTTCAATCCATCAGTACAACTGACAGATTCAAAGCAGGAATTCATAGCATACCCATATCACAAATGTTCTGGCAGAAATGGTTTCAAGCTCAGTGCTTACATCAGTTAAAAAAAGCCCCCCCCCCCTTTTTTTTTTAATATGTCTATACAAAGCCCAAGCTATCATAAGATCAGGTGGCAATTCTACCTCTGAAACATTTTGTTCTTCTAGGTGACTGGCAGGAGCTTCAAGGTTTTTGTTTTTTTTTTTATTTTTTCTTGAAATATCCTTCCTGTTTTAACAGCTGTCTCCCAGCAAAATTATACTATGTATTCTGAGGGCAGCATACATATTTAATGTGAAATTTACATTTAGACCATAACAAATGCAAGAAAAACAGTAACTCTAGTTATACATCTAGTCAAAAAATCTGACATGTCTAATTGTTACAGTTCAAGTGGCTGAGCATTAAAGGCTCAGAATAAAAGCAGAGATCCAGAGATCTGCATCTGAACCTCAGATGTTCAGAAGCGAGAACTACCCCTACTCAGCCCACTGCTAGAAAATTCAAAGACCAGTTAAAGCACTGAATTTAAGCCAATAGGATTGTTCCGCTACTGGTCTAACACAGATATTTACTCCCCTGTAAGACACCTGCTTTTTAAATATATTTATTTATTGAAAATCGGTTACTAGTACAGGGCATAAGTGAAAGGCATTCTCTTTTGTTCACCAAAAAACACCCACATGGGCTTCCATATAACGAGCCTCGATAGCACAGACAAGGTTCAACTTCAGGTTTAATGTTAGGAGGAACAGAGCCATGTGCTGTGGTTTCTTACAAGATCAAGTTCCTAGCTATTAATTGATGCAGGGTAATTATCTGTGTATAGGCAAGAGCCTTGCCCTGCACCACATCACAGGAAGCAGCTAGTAAGTAGTTCAGTAGGACTGCTTTTATACTGACAGAGTGGTCTTAAACGATGAGATTTTTCTTTTAGAGGAAAGTGAGTGGTACATAGTTTAACAATGCAAGAGCTGAATAGCAGGCTTACAATTATCAACACGGCTGTGGGTATGCATCCCCTTCCATCAACCCCCTGCAGAGTTCTTTAGCATAAGTTCATAAAAAAACCCCAAAATTGCTCCTTTGAATTAAGAAAATGCCTTTGCTGCTTTGGGGATGCTGATGCAGGATCAGCAAACATAACTCTATGGAAAAGCTGAACTTTTGGAGAGCAAGAATAAAAGAAATAGAGTCAAAAATTCAGCAATGGAAACTATCTCCAGTAAGACACTATGGAAGAAACTAGAAGTCCTGCTCTCTGCTGGAATTGCCCTTTCACATGCTGCTACTGCTTATCTTTGAACTGTTCATTTGTTTCTACTTGAATAACTTTGCTTTAGGCTACTGAGTAATTGCCACATTGAAATGCTAAAAGCAGCAGCACAATAAGCAGCTCACAGGTGTCTTGGAAATTACTTAACAAGCTTTGCTCAACATATTGATCAGTGTCTGTCCACAGAAAGCCTCCAGAATGGCAGAGCACAGCATTTAAAGGGATCACCACTTAATCTCAAAACGTGAAAAGTAAGGCTTGGACTAAGAGTCAGTCCTACGGGTAAAGACAATTTTTTAAGATGCCATCTCCTACCAGCTTCAAGACCAAAAGAAGAGAATAAGCATAAACATTTTAAGTGGTGTTAAAGACGCCAAGATCTTCCTCAGCAATCACATCTAAAAGCCGGCCAGACTCCAGACATAAGCCATTCATTCACTGCAGAGACACAGAGCTCACCACCAGTAACCTGACCACTTCAGCTGGTACCATTCATTACCTGAGCTCAGGAGACAAGATTTCATCTGTGGTTCAGATGGTTTTGTAACTGGGCTGAGCAAATGCACTTCAGAATCCATCCCTAAAAGAGTCACTAGGCAAACAAGACTTAAAGCCTTTGAGCAACCACGTGAAGGTTAGGCTGGCCATTTGAATTAAATGGCCAAATAATAATTGAAGCTGAGAGGAAGAAAACTTAACAGGATCACTTCCTGCAGCTCCCTTGAAGCAGCAGCTGGTACAGGCCAGTCTGCCCAGCATTTATCCTCATCAGAGTACCACATCAGATAGTTTGGTGTTCAACATGGCAAGAAATTCCACGCTTACATTTTCTTCTGTCCAATTTCTTCTCAGTAGAACTGTTTTCCCACTGATATAAAGCCAGTAATGAACTGACAAGCAGTCAGGAGAAAAAAGTTAGCAGTAGAAAAATTAGCAAGTGATGTGACACTATGGTAATAAATCACACTAATAATGATCAGTTCTCAGAACAAAAGTGGAATTCATCAAGGTATTTTAGGCTCACAAGCTTTTTGACAAGGATAAACAGAATCAAGAATATGGCCCCTGCTACCACAGCTAACAGATCTTAACCACCAATCCTAACCCAAAATCTGAAAAAAGCTTACAAATGATGAACAGGAATACTCAGTGAAGGTATATAACTATAGTTTCAACAAGACTTCCATGATTCTTCTTAATCCAGGGGAAAATTATATAAACCCAAGACACTGCTTGTGTGATATCAATATAAGGCACTCAAATTAAAATTTAACCCCCGCCCCTGCCACCCCCC